CTTTAGGATATTAAGTAAAGATCATGTTCCATTAAGATATTTTGTAAATTTCCTACCGTAAATATATCAAAACTTAATTTTTGATTAGTGATAGGCCTATGCATGGCTAAGAACTTCATTTGAACAACTTTAAAGATGATTTTCTCAATATTTAGATTTTTTTGCACCCTCAGATTCCAGATTTTCAAATAGTTGTATCTCAGCCAAATATTGTCCTATCCTAACAAACCATACATCAATGGAAAGATTATTTATTCAGCTTTCAGGTGATGTATAAATCTCAATTTCGGAAAATTGACCCTTATGACTTTGGACATTAGGTTTTGTGCTCCAGGGTCACATTTATATCTTAGAGAACATACCAAAAAAAAAATTCTCAAATTACTCTCAAAAAGGAAAAAAAAAACACACACACACACACACAGAAAGACCTGAGTTTGGTGAATACAGTGTGTGTGTGTGTGTGTGTGTGTGTGTGTGTGTATATATATATATATATACAGTATATATACACATACATACATACATATGAATCAGAGGACTTCATCTACGTCGCAGGCAGGCAACGGGAAAAAGGCCCTCTGTTGTGACGGATCCAGCCTTGACAAGACAGCACGTTTACTGTATGTCACCACAGCCCTAACGTGATAGTCTTGCAATTCTACACAAGATTCTCTTCCGCTCTTCTTTTGCACTTTCCAACTGATTCTGGTGGCCACAGAGAATCTGCTCAGATTAGGTTGAAACTCTTTGTCCTGCTTCTGTCGTTCCACACACAATACTGTAACATGCTCGATCACAGTAGCTCTGATTTCATCTGAAATGACTGTTCTTGGTCTTGCTCTTCCTCGGCCTCCTCTTCCAGACTGACGGATGCACCCGTGCCATCGTGTGTAAACGATGATGACCGTGTTGCAGTTGTGCTTAACTTCGGCTTTCTTGTGTTTAGGGTTTTGCATCGCAAGTTTATCACGGTGCAAACTGCGTTTTAGTGAGTGAGAATGTGTTTAGAGTTTTGCTAAACGAGTGCATGAGATCTGCAAACAGTGTCTAAACTGCCTGAACTTGTTTAAGGTTTTGCAGAAAGAGTGATTTTTTGGGACAAATTGGTTTAGGCTATTGAGAATTTTGTTCAGAGAATGGCATTTAGTGTCTTTGCAAATGTGAAAAACTCTAATAACAGCTCTATCTATCTATCTATCTATCTATCTAATATCCCAGATAGCACAGGTATGTCTGCTAGAGGTCTGTTAAAGATCGCTTCATCTGGAAAGCATCTGCTGTGTACAAACATCTGACAGACGTCTCTAAGATGTCAGTTTCACATGCATTCTAAATCATAAAGACATCTTCTAAACGTCTATTTGACATCTGATAGGAAACGTCCTATAGATGTATTGCAGATGAGCGAACACTCTAAAAAACACGTCTTGCAGATGTAAATGCGACGTCAAATAGACGTCTCCGCGATGTACGCGTGCTGTCAGGGATCTGTTTACTGTAAGAATGACGCTTCAGATAAAGCAGCCCTAAAAGTAAAATGGCCAAACACACACCATTCTCAACATCCACATCACCAGCTGGAAATATGAAACCTTATTAATTTCAAACACTGTCTGATGATAAAGGTGATTTATTATTGGTAGTTCAAACAGAGCAGAACAAAAGATCTGTTTGACCCTGGGTGTGACGGTGAGCTACACGAGTCCTGCTTTAACCTCGATATTTATTGGAAAATAATGAGCTTTGCCTTACTGTCAATATTTAACAAAAGATCAGTTCAATTCAAAGGAAAAAGGAGCATTTCTGGTACGTCATGTGTGTGTGTGTGTGTGTGTGTGTGTGTATGAGTGTGTGTGCGTGTGTGTGTGTGTGTGTGTGTGTGTGTGTGTGAAAACAATAATCCTCGCTTTACTAGTGTTGGGGAGTAACTAGTTACATGTAATTGTGTTACGTAATTTAATTACAAAATAAATGCAACTGTTACAGTTACTGAGAAAAAAAATGTAATTAAATTACAGTTACTTATGAAAATTGTAATGATTACAAAGGGGGTTACATCTGAATACTTGTATTAATATTTAATATTTCTTGTTATGATTTTAAATCTGTATTTAACCTCAGAACGATCTCAAAGTAAAAAGATGTGCTAAAGTCTGATTTTGTAGTGGCTGTTCTTTAAAATTAAATTATTATAATCTTAATTCAAGAAATGAAGGATTTTGAAAGTCTGACAGTAATCAGTGTTGAGTCTTACTGTAAGGTTAACTGAATATATATACTCATATATTAAATGTGAATATATATATAGTATTTATAGAGTTTTAGCTTTTAGTTTTAATTACTTTTTCTTATTT